AGAAGTAAGTACATACAGATATTTTTCTCCCTTCCACAATACCACAAACATATTTTAAATACCCTTCTTCACCTTCTTCCCTCCACCTTATCTTGGAAAAGATTCCTTATCAGCACGAATAGAGCTCACTCCCTTTTCATGACTGCACTGACCTCTATCACAGGGGCTGTGTTTTCAATCAGTTTCCCATCGATGGAGAGACATTTAGCCTTCATACTGCTTCTAATCACACTAAAGAGGATCAATTTCTAGAAGTGAAATTTCTCTGGGCCCAAGGACACGCACATTTGCAACTCTGCTGCTCGAGCTGACTTACACTCCCTCAAGCAATGCATGCCACGTATGCAAGTGCCTGTTTCCTCACCCCTTGCCAATCCAGCTGTTACCAAATTGACTTTCAACTACTTGTATACAAATTCTTCATTCATACAGGTTAGTTTCATCATTACCATCAAGCGCATTGTTAAAAGGGATGGGGTTCCTGGATATAGAGAATAAGCAAGACACATGCATGAAATGAGCAAGAGCTGAAATTCAGCAGCGGAGAAGGGAAGACTCACTCTGACAAGGGTGAACTCTCCCTGGAGGAAGTGGAAACTGACCTAGGTTCTCCAGGACACACATGTGGACAGAGAGGAAGGAGTCCCAGAAGGAGGCCAGAACAAGCAGTCCACCAGCACAGAAAACCCCATAACCTGGTGAGCGGTGGACCAGTTTGAGAAGAGGAAGATGGTGCTCAAGTGGCAGCTCAGAGAGTAACAAAGCTGGGCCTTAATTCGGAAGGAATCAAGGGTCAGTAGAAAGAACACTGGATTGAGAGTTAGAATTTCCACTTTTGGCATTAGCTAAATCATCTTGAGAAAAACTAGTTTATCCGGATTTCAGTTTCCTCACTTGGAAAACAGAGAGGTTAGCCCTGAGGCCAAACTGTCTGTAGCTGCAGAACTGTGTGTTCAAAGTAAACCTTATGGTGAGGGCCACGCCGGAGAAGGGGACAGAGGGAACGCCTCAGCCCCGTGTTCCAGCTGCTCCATGCTGACAGCACGGGTAGGAGCCAAGGAACTTGGGATTATGCAAAGCACAGCGTGAGAGCAGGTCCCTTCAACTCTAAAAATTATTCCAATTTTCCCCTCAGTGGTGGATAACGACTTGCACCTTCACTTCTGCTGCACCTGCCTACGATTTATCTCAGGTGTTCTAGGACTTGGGAGACAGCAGTTAAAAGTACAATAATTCTTCCCTCTGGAGTTCAATGTCTATTTGGAAGGGGTAGAGAAAAAGCAACAAGTTTATGGGATGTCAGAGAATGAGCAAGAGGGGAATGTGCAGCAATAAGGGTGGGGGCGAACTGCTTCTGCCAACAAGCCCCGCTCATCCTCATGTCAGGGCTCTTCCATTCAGTCTTTTCAGATTTTTGTCCTCACAGAGAATTTGTTCTCTTATCTGAAATCCTGCAGCACTTTGGACCCCGCACAAGCCCCTGCCATTTGTTAACTGTTTCACTGCACCGGATTCGTGTCGCCCAGACCGTAAGCCTCTTGAGGGTGTTACATTAGTCTTGGGTGGCTCTGGCAGGGCCACACAGACAGCACAGACTTAGCATCCGCTCGGGACAGGCTGACTGCTCTGACAACACTGCCATTTCAGAATTTCAGCTATGACCTTAACACTTCCTTTCCCCAAGACCTTGGACTAGAAATTTCAAGAACATAAAAAGCAGAATTAAATGGACACATTAACTCAAGAGAAAACCAAACTGGATTTGGTAACAGTAAGGATGGCCAGGTGGCCCAGGTGTTTGCCACAGGAGCTGACCTAAGACAAACATGAACTAGACGAGGGGAGCAGATGGCGTGGAAGTGGAAGGGAGAGTGTCAGTGCAACCGTCTTGTGCAACAGAGTGAACACACGGGGCTGCGCAGAAAAAAAGGGCAGACCCGAGTCCCCAGCCCACCAAGTCTCTTGCCTACCTCCTTGCTGGAACAGATGCCGGGCCTACACCCTGCCCTGCCCTGCCGCCCCTCAACACGCGCCCCCCCCCCCCGCCATAGCTCAGTGCTCTGCTCCTCCTCCTCTACCCAGGCTTAAAAACTGTCAAGGGCACCCTCACCTCCCACCACACGGAGCTCCCCTCTCCTTTTATAGCAGAAAACGTGCATGTCAGGGTACTTATTTTACTATTTAAAAAATCTGAGAATTTCCTACGTGACATCAGTTGTACTTTTAGTACCACAGCTGAGAAAGCACAGAGACCAAAGCTACTGTGACACAAACGAGCAGCACTACTGGCAACAGTGGAAAGAAGGAGCCCAACTGTTCGTCAGTGGACGAGTGGGTACACAAAATGTGGTTCATCCATGCACTGAACTATTTTTTAATTCAGCCATAAGGAATGAAGTAATGACACATGAAACACGGATGAACTTTGAAAACATTATGCTAAAGTAAAAGAAAGCAAACAGAGGAAGCCACAGATTGTTATGATTCCATTTATGTGAAATATCCAGAATAGGTAAATCCAGAGACAGACAGCAGATGAGTGGCGGCCCACGGCTGGGGGAGAGGCCGGAGGGAGTAACCGTTTGGGGTCCAGAGTGTCCGTCTGGGATGATGAACTGCGTGGTCGGGACGGCTGCACAACACTGTGAATGCACAAAACGCCACAGAACCGTACATTCTAAAATGGTTAAAACTGAATTTTATGTTTTGTGTATTTTATCACAGTAAAACAAGGTAATGTGAATCCAAGGAACTTAAAAAAATTGTATCTTACTAATTTCTAAAATGAAACTTGGAAAACAGACACTATGGGCACTGAAAAACCAAACCACACACACACGTGAACACTTCTTCACCCCCCTAAACAACACCTGGTGTGAACAGATTCTCAGAACTCCTGCACAACTATAGCTAATAATACGACAATAATGGCAGACAATTACTAAACTAGGCACTCACGTTTAATCCTGTGAGATAATTAGCTTCATTTTACACAAGATAAAACAGGCACAGAGGCTAACGCACCTGCCCAAGACTGAAGAGCCACCCAGTGCAAAACCTCAGAATTTGAATCCGAAGCCAACTAGTTTCAGAATGTATGTTCCTAGTCGCAGCTCCATGGACCCACAATGCACACCCTCCTCACCCCGCCCAATCCATTCTCTCTCTCACCACCTACCTACCCCGAACATCACTCCACGGAGAAGCACCTGCTCGGCCGTGGCATTCACGGTGCCTTCCACCTGAAGCATCTACCTCCAGTCCTGTTGTCATGCGTCTGCCTCCAGCACTGCCCTCTCTCCTCTGCAGGTTCTGCTGTAGCGGAAGGAATGGGGCCGAGGGCTCCGGGGCTCTTCCCAACCCTCCTTTACTATTCTTACAACTTGCACTGGTGCCTGAGAACACGGACTGAGAGCCCGTTTTCACCTGAGAAGAACGAAGAACTACTTTTACGCTCCCCAGCACCACCAAACGTGCCCTGTGCACTGCTAGAGAACAAGATGGAATGCAAACAAGACTGAGCCACAAGATTGAACCATTTTGTTTGGCCAGCACACATTTTTTAAAACACTGACAATATAACTGGAATGACTTCCTCGGGCCACCCAGTCCCGGTGTGCCGTTCTGCAGCCTGGTGTTATCTTGTGACCTGCTGCTCCAGCCACGTAAGCTATCCTGACCTCGCCACTAACTGACTGACTCATTACTCACTCTCAATGATTTTGCTTCCTGTCACCACTCTTATTACACCTAAGTCACAGCAGGAGAAGATACGGAGAGACACAGAAGGGCAAAACAGACATTGTTTCCAACAGAATATACATTTTACGTCTGAGGATAAAGTCTTACACAATTTCAAAGGAAGGGGGCCCTAGCAGAACACGACCTAGCCTAGCAGAGGGTCATAGCTGGGAGTCCCAACAACCCCAGTGATTTCTGATAAAAGGTCAGGAGCCTTTGTTTCAAGGAGGTTTACATTTAAATTTCAACAGCAAAGTGAGATATTCAGTATTTGAATTATTTCTGTTTAGCTTGTAACAACATTTAGGTTCAGGAAGAAACACCGAAAATGAAATGGGAAGGTGTTTCTTAAAATGAAATGAAATGTTGACTGAACATGCTGTGCTGAGACAGAACAAGGGGTGTCACTCATTTAAAAGCTTTGGGTCTCTCTAGACCAGAAAGAAGAGGGTCACATGTTGTCTTTAACATGTGACGAGCCCACAGCTGTTCACTGCAAAACCAAAGCAGTACCCAGTCGGGGGTGTCCAACCTGTGCCCACGGGCCATGCGTGGCCCAGGATGGCTATGAATGCGGCCCGACACAAAATCTAACCTTTTTTTGCTCATCAGTATTCATTAGTATTTATGTATTTAACATGTGGCCCAAGACAAATCTTCCTGGGTGGCCCACAGATGCCAAAATGCTGGACAGCCCTGGAAGTAGCAAGTTAATATTTACAAACAGTGGCAAACAGAAGGGCCCTAATCTGGGACAGGCAGGTGGTAAAATAAATAAAGGTTGTCATACTCTTAAAAAACATTTTTTATTAAGTCAAAAGCCTAAAGTACAAACATTTACATCTAGTAAGAATGAAAACAGAAAGCTACAGAACTGTTAAACTGAGATGTTTTACCATCAACCATTTCCCACAAATGACAATTTTAGGCTACCTTAAGTTACTGAAAATTTGTGTGGAAAATTAAATTTCTGCTTTCTTAATCTTTTATAAAATACTGCTCACCCCCACCCATAAAGAAACCTCCACATACCTCAGGAACACTGACATTCTTACAGTGATCACTTGTGCAAAGGTGAAATCCACACAAAAGCAAACCACCCTCTCTCCAACCCTCTGGTCTTTCTGCTGCACAGCCCAGGACTAAGCTCTAGGTTCACTTCAGTGTTGAAAGGTAGGCCATACAAGAAAGAAAGAAAATAGTTCTTAGATGTACGAGGCAACAGGCGAAAATGTCACTGGGCAGTACATAGTACTTACTGATGGTTCAACTTGACTTTGATCTGCAATATCTATGTGGACAATTTCAACAGTTTTCCATGTATTTGGATCTAACCCATGTACCTATAAGTGACAAAGAGAAATGAACAACAGAAAGCATAGACTATTGCTAGGCAAAACTATTATAGTTACATATACAATCTTTATCTTATGTCTAGCAGAGTACACTATGAGGTATAAAAAAACCCAAATTGCTCTTTAATGAAATTAGACACTGAAGTCTCAAGGGATCTAGATATTTTTTATCCCTTAAAACCCCAAATAACAAGGAGGTAGGTTGGTGAGGATGCTGCCAAATTAACAGAAACCTGTTACAGAATTTTCTGGTAGGCCTTAGAGATGATCTCTTTAACAAACTGTACCTGACCCACATCTAACCCACATAATACATGACAAAGTCCTTGTAACCTCCGAATTCCAGACACACAAAATGACATTAATAAGACTTCGGAAGCTGCGCTGTGTGGTCTAAACCCTCTCCTGAACTTGATTATCCTAAAGCTGTTCAGTCTCAGCAGGATGTTAACTCCTCTACACTTCGTGTGGGTCAATCTTTTATTCCTGAAACTCTATCTATGAACCAATTAAGGATTGTTTAAAAACTGCCAGATATACCCATTTGAAAGCTAAAAGATACCAAGTCATCTCATTTAGACTCTAAATTTTAGAGTTATGATAAAAAAAAAAAAAAAACACCATGAAATGTCAAGTGATCACCTGGATTAAAAACTCAAGTCAAAATACTACCCATTATAATCCAAAAGTTCTATTAACTGACCCAATCATACTGTACATAAAAGCACAGTAAAAATGGATTTTTACTAAAATTAACACCAACTTCTTCTCCTATACAGCAAAGTAACCTAAGGTTAGAACAGTGGTTCTCAACTGCACACTAGAAAACAGACTGCTGGGTCCACCCCCAGAAGTTCTAAGTAGGGATGAGATGGGATCGGGGCCCGTGCTGTTGAGAACCACTGGTCCAAGGGCATCAACCTGTACCGGATGCCCTCCCAAGTTCCCCGACAGGCCTTACCAAAAGTTAACGATTACGCTGAGTCTTAACAGATTTTTTTTGAAATTTATTTGAGAGATTAATGTGCGCCAACTTGTAAAAATCAGGAACTTCTCAACATTTTTTTACATTACCCAATGTACCTTCTTCCTCATTTTGGCCATTTCTCTGACGTCAACCCACATCCCAGCAAAGTGGAATGAAGGTGAAAATTAGAGCAATCAATTTTGCTATGGACAGCAGCCCTGGCAAATTCAGAGAGATGAAAAGATCAAAAAAAAAAATCTAAGATTTAATGGCTAACATTGGCTTGGGGATTATCTGAGAGTTGTGTTTATCCCGTCTCAGACAACGACAGCTGCTGATAAAAACAGCGACCTCACCAGAGCCCACTCTCGCACCAAGGCGAGAGGAGTGATCAGGAAAGCCCAGGTGTTGCTGGCTGCTTGCTCGCCTCACTGCAATTGGACACACCCTTGGGCGGCCAGGTACTGGTCTAACACAGGTGGCCTCGTTCTGGTGATGACAAAATGGACTACAGCATTCTCATTTGTAGGGGCTTCTTCACCGAAAGCCCAAAGGTGAAAACTTACATTTTCTAATGTTCCCAAGTCTGGTTTGTGCCATGTTTCAATTTTAATGAAGAAATCATCTTTCATATATTCATTCTGCAGAAAACACAACGGTAAAATGACAGTGATCTTTCAGCAGTGCTTTGGGGCTCCTGTCTACGGGAGCCTTCCCCAGCACAGACATCCATGCCTTTAACTCGACAGGCCTGATCTTCAGATGACGAAGGATCCTTAGCTACCTATTTTTATAGACTTGTCAGCCATATATAGCTACCAAATGCTACATGCTTTTAAATAATTCAAACAGCCCTACTTGTTATGCAGCATATGGGGCTAATATTAAAGAAGCTGTGAGGGTTAGTAAGCAAATCTGGCATTCAAAGGAAGTAGCAGAAGCAAAATACAGTCAAGAGGGAGATTTTGAGACAAGGCTGGAGCAAGCCCACTAACCCTGGGAACATGTGGTGGAGTGCAGGCTGCTGGAAGAGGCACAGAGAGGGAGCCATGCAGTGGTGAGCAGTTTTAATAAAAAAAGCAAGGACTGGTTGGAAATAATTACTATATAAAGCAAAGTTTAAAGGTGAAGAGTATGTGGTACAAAAACAGTTTTACTCACCGTTACAACTGAGACATAACGGACAGGTAGGCAATAAGGGGGGAAAATTTCAGAATATTAATTGGAGTCAATACAATCTGTCACCGTATTTAATGTCATAAGATTAAACTACCAGAAAACAGTTCATTGGCTAGTTTACATCTGCAAAGCACAATTTCTACACAAGTCACACTGTAGGATACTTTAGATTATGGAGTCAGCAACCTAGTTTTAAAGCAATGCTAAAAGGAATAATGAATGACACAAGAGCAAAAACTTCACTGATAATAGTAATCTAATAGACAACATAAAACTGTTTCAGAAGGCTGCTATATCCCTCCTCTATAACCTGGCAACATGAGTAAATTACTATTAAAAGTACACCAGAAGACACTTCTGAGTGTGGATAACCTTTCTTTAAGGTTTCTGCACAGCATACTCAGAGATACTACAGTTGGTTCCACACTACCACAATAAAATGAGTACTGTAAGAAAGTGAGTCATAATCTTTTTGCTGGTGGAGGCTCTTGCCTTCGCTTTATAAAAAAGACAACGTCTGCGAAGTGCAATAAAGTGAAGCGCAATAAAACAAGGTATGCTGCCTCTTAATCCGTTCATTTGCTCACCCCCCGGAGCCTGTGCAGTGAGCAATAACCTCAACATGCTCTCACCTGGGAGTGAACCCATGCCCCCCACAAAGGTCTGGGCAGGGTGAGGCAGGGAGGAACCCAATGCAATCTCTCCTCTGCCACAGTCAGTGCAGTGCTACCCGAGAACCCACAAAAGGGCTTGCTCGGTGTCCCCCTTCTCACAGGGGACTGCTGGGGACCAGGCTTACTTGTTCTACAGTAGGGATATGCGTTCCAGGCTTTCTCGTGAAATACCAAGGAGCCCTCAGGAGCAATCATCCTCACGAATGCAGGAACTTTGCTGTGAGGAGAGAAATATTGGGTATATTTTCAACAGCACCATCACTTCTTTTTCGGCATCTCTCACACTGCTTCAAAGAGTACTGTAGTCAAAGGCGCTATGTTCTAAGCCTCGTGTACCACTCATCAGATTGTTGACAGTTTCATCCTCATTCCCAAAGTAACCAAGCAGAAAATGAATGTAAAAACAACAAAATAGTTATGGTGTGTTTACCCATATACAGCATTTTTTAAAAAGGAGAAGCAATTCTTTCTTATGGGCTTCTGATCTTCCTCCCTAATGTGAAACCTAAGAGTTAACTGCAGCCATTTGACCTCCACATAACACAACACAGAAGTTCTCTTGTGCAGGGAAGACAACACTATGCTGTTTCTTAATGCAAAAAGGACAGAAGTCCCAGAATCAGACTATTCCTGAAAGTCTTTTCAAACATTTTACAGAATAAACATAAAGAAAAGTGACCAGAAAGGAGACATTAAGACATATCCACGTATAAAATTTTGTAGGCTTTGGAGATGTCACTTGCTATCTCAAGGACCCTAAGATAATCAGGACAAATCCGAACAGATAAAACAGACAAAGGATATCCAGACACAGAGAAAATAAAAACACAACTGGTTAACAAACAAGTGGACACATCAATCTTAATGATCTTCAAAAAATGCATATGAAGTGACGTGACCATTGTAAACCATCATTCATTTATCCTGTAAAAGCAGTTTTACATGTACGGGCTTTTCACACAGATTGGATTCAAGTCACAAAGTCACCACTTGGAAGATGTGTGACCTTGGGCGTATTACCTGGCTTTCTGAACCTGTGTTGACTAGAGTCTGTATGACTTACTCTGCAGGGTTACTGACAGGACTCAATCAAACAGCATCTTGTGATGTGTTTAGTATACTGCACAGTTCAATGAGCGCTCAATAAACAGTAGTTACGGCTTTTTAATCATAAGCTGACAGGGAGCTGGTACTTTCACGTGCCTTCCTTCACTTAAATCCTCTAATAAAACACTGTGAGGAGAGCATTCATACAACCAGCATTTAAGAGGCTACATAACTATGAGTCAAAACGACATCCTTCAACTACAAGCCCTATCACATATTTTTTTTCCACATCGGAGCTGCTTCTCTGAGAACTTTCAAGCACAACTTAATTTCCTAAACTAAGAGAAGGAACAAACCAAGGAAATGCAGGATCCAGGAAGGACCGCTGGCCCCATGACAAGAACAGTTGACCAGAGAGAGGTACAGAATGGCACACGGCCCAGAGAGCTGTGAGGTTACGAGGAGGTAACGCAAACAGCCCTTTGCTGTCTCTCCAGAACAGAGAAGCGGGTCCATGACTGGAGCCTCCACCACTGTGGCAAATTAAATCACCAGAAGAGCTGAAGCACTACTATTACACAGGGCAGTACAAGTGTGAGCCCAAAGGCATAAAGAGATTTACCAGTGCCTTTACACCCTTCAAAGATAATAATGAAGAAGGGCTAATTCTGAGCACTTATTCTTTTCAAATCTTCGGAAGATTCATGCAAAGGGGTATAACTTCAGAAAAATGAAGCCAGGATAAACTGCCAATAATATCACATTAAAAGTCAAATGATACCCAGCAGTTCAAATTATTTTCCCATTATCAGAGATCCCTTTAAATGGAGGAGAGGTCTAATCAGAGTATAATGTAATGCATATGGGTAATTTTTTTTAATACAAGTTACACGATCACCAAGTCTCTGAGAATATCTATCATTTGTTCATTTGATTAACTTAGAAAAAGACAGGTAAAAGACTAGCTGTATCCTAGCTCAGAAACACATTTTAACACTGTCCTATTTATTTCTAGGGTGCCCAATATTCTGAAAACCTTATTATTTATCAGAAGTTCTAAAATTTGCTGATCCAAACAGAAAAAAACAGCCAGTGGGTCCTGAAAGCCCCCAACAGCCGAATATGCAAGAAAGCTTCACTGTGTCTCCACTTTGCTCCCACACTGCCCATTATCTCACCTCCAGGATGCTTTTTCCATGATGTGAGTTCTACTAACTCCTTTTAAGTTTTGACTTTGCGCAGCCAAACCTTTGAGCCAATGTTGTTTCAAATTTACTACTTTTTTTTTTTACATTTAACATGGGAACGTCAACAAATACACCTCTCTCTCAATGCATCTAAATAACTGACTAAACTTGGGGAAAATAAAAATGGAGTAAATAAAATTAAATTTCAATTCTATTTTACAGGAGAGAAATTTTCATTAATCGTTAAGTTTAATACAGTCCTAACAAGGCAATTCAAGCATGCCACATACATACAGAACCGAGAACACAGCACACGCCACATTCTGCCACATACCACGTGCTGCCACATATAGTGCGTACACACGCTCTTGTGTGTATTATACACAGGACTGCCATGCCCACCATCACACCCATGGTGTGTAACCATTACGCCCATGCACAATGTGCACCCTTTTTTCCCCCTCAAAACTTTAGGCAAAAAAGTGCACGCTGTCCACGACAAAATATGGTGCGTTGTTTTTTTACCTCCGTATCACTTAGGAAGTCACTTTGGTAAAATGAAAGGAATTCTGTTTTAGAAGCTCGGAAAGTAACAGAAAAGAGACATGTTAACGGAGTTAACAAAATGGTGTTAGATTTTAAAAACAAATCAGGAAGGACATTCTTCCTCTTGTTCTTCCAAACTATTCATGAAATGTTCTCTCATAATAAACCAAGAGTGATAAAAGTATTTTTCCTCAATGTAAACTTCACCTAAATTTCAGCTGTTAGAAGTCAGTCATAACATAACGCCCAAGAGTACACAAAGGTTCTTTGCCAATACAAGCCTTCCCCCAACTGAAGGTTATTTAATACTATTTACCTTCAGAGTAAAATTCAACTGAAGTGTCTTATCAATTGTCTTGAGAAGAGACAATACCAAGCTCTAAGCTCAGTAATGCAAATGGTTGCGGACCTGCTTTTGGTGAGACTGTTCTGTCACAGTTGCACCAGAAAACAAGGGGCTAATAAGGCTTAAAAAATACACACAATAAATGACCATAATGTACACTAAACTCCTGATCTAGAAGCATTCTTATTAAAAAAAAAAAAAAAATCCTGTTCCGAAGATAATACCTCGGCAAATCATTTCAAACTGTACTTTTCCCATAAAATTTTCTCATCAATTTGTAAACACAATGAATAAAACTGTTCAAAGATCCACTCTCCCATCCTCCTCCATACAATTGTGGAGAAACATCAAAATGTAGAAAAACATGGGGAAGAATCTGAAGACCAAATTAATTGGCCATAAATAAAGCAAATAACCTGCCATTTCATAGTCAACTGAAATATAACTTAAATCCACTGGACGCTTCATTCATCCCCCCAAGCACTTACAGAGTGTACACCGTGCCAGGAGATGAGTGAATAATGGCGTGCAAACAGGGATAATCCCCACCCAGAGCGAGTCTTCCAGTGAGGAAAGCAGAAAATGCAGCAGAGCATTACCAATAAAGCAGAGAATTACCTCTCCTGAAATGCAGTGGAGTTAAGGAACAGGGCCCTGGGCAGTGAACACCTGGGGCAAGGGTGCGCACGAAGGCCTCCCTGAAAAGTGGTTGGCCCGACTGTGAGGAGGGCCAACAATGTGCAGACATGGGGTGAGAGTCCTAAAAGAGCACAAGACTTGGCCTGCTTTGGGCCCCTTACAGGCCTCCAGCATCACTAGACTGCAGACACAAGCTGAGGATGGAGAGGTGGGCAGGGGGCAGCCAGATTACAGGGGCCTCTCTTACAGGGCAGGGTTTGCGTTTTATTCATTTTATGATGGGAGGCTACTGAAGGCTTTAAGAAGGGGAATGACATAACCTGATTTAAGTTTTAAAATCATTCTGGCTTGGTGTGGAAGATTCATGGGAGTGAGCAAGAATAGATGGTAGCAAAAAGTAACTGAAAATGGATTAAAGATCTAAATGTAAAAGCTAAAACTATCTCTTAGAAGAAATACAGATTAAATCTATGTGACTTTGGATCGGACAGTGAAGATATGACACCAAAAGCGTAAATAAAAAACAGGTAAATTGGACTTCACCAAAATTATGAACTTTTTAAGCTTCAAATGATACTGTCAAGAAAGTGAAACAACTCACAGAATGAGCAAATAATTTTGCAAATCATATATCTGATAGGAAACTAGTATCCAGAATATAAAAAGAACTCTTACAACAAGACAACCTAATTAAAAATGGGTAAAAGATCCAAACGGGTATTTCTCCAAAGATCTACAAACGACCAATATATACATAAAAAGACGCTCAACATCAACCAACAGTGAAATACAAATCAAAGCCACAGAAAGATACCACTTCACACTCATGATGATGGCTACTATTAAAACAAAAAAACCAAAGACTTGAAAATAACAAGTATTGGCAAGGATGCAGAATCTTTACACCCTGCTGGTGGGAATGTAAAGTGTTGCAGTCATTTTGGAAAACAATCTGGCAGTTCTTCAAATCTGGTGATTCTGAATGTAGGTGTGTGTATGTACATATATGTATATGTATACACATAAAAAACCAAGAGACACGAAACACACACATAGAAACTTGTACAAAAAATGTTCATAGGTGCATTATTTATAATAGTTATAAGAATGGATGGCAAGAGATCAGTCTGTAGGCAACTGGAGAAGTTCAAGAGAGACAGATAAGGGTACCCTGCTTTAATGATAGCTATGTAGATGGAAGAAGGAAGAAATGGAGAGATAAGAAGAAAAAACTATAAAATAACTTAATTGCCTGATTTGCAGGGAAGAAATAAAATAACCAGACACAAACTGGCTAACTTCTGGGCGATGTTAGTTTCAGAAAATTACAAAAAGTAAAAAGAGAAAAGCATGTTTTTCACATGACAAAAAGATCAATGAGGAATGAAATTACAGTTGACCCTTAAACAATGCAGGTGCTGGGGTGCCAACCCTCCACACTCCCTGCAATCT